TGCGCTGTCCCTTCGCGCTGCCGTCTCCTTGCCAACCCGGCGTTGGCCTGTTTGTTTTCAAGTCTAAAAGGAGCGATACAAGGTGGAAAATGAGTCAAGATCAGACAAAAGGGGTAGAAGGGCTGGGGAACAAAGTTGTCTGTTGGCCTCTAAAGTGGCAGGGAGCCCGGGGGGGGGGGGGGATATTGAGGCAATCTGTGTAAAAACACAGTCTCTCCCTGGAGTTATGTAATTCCTTCAGAACGTGGGCCTCTCTGCTTTGATTTCGAGCCATCAGGGTAATTCCCACAACTTCCAACTGCAAAATTAGGAAAGACTTAAGTGAAGGTTAGCTACATTCAGAGTGCTCTGCCCTGAACACAGCAGGTACTCTATAAGTGTTTATTATTTACTATGGTGGCCCCAAAGACAATGTTTATATAATTCCTTTTTAGGGCACCTTGAATAGTAGCCTCCATAGTATTCTCAAAGGAGTATTTTTCCAACAGTAAACATCGTTTTCTTCTCGAAAATAAGTGAAGTGGCAAGTTATGGTCAAACTTTCAAATGAACAATGTAACCATTGGTGCCAGAATAGGGACTGCTGAAGTTTGTCCCCTATTATCATAAATCTAAATGACACTTTTTCATCGGATTTCAGAGGTTAATGTGTGCAGTAACCCTCAACATGAGTTCAGGGCTAAGTAATGTGAAACAAAACCAAAGTAAACAGACATTGTATTTAACAGAGATCAATAATAATGTGAAACAGTTGAATCTAATCCTAAAGCAGATATATTCCATACTTTTTCTTTTTAAAAAACTATCAGTATGTTTTAAACATCTATATTATTATGAGTTTAATCACCTACTAAAATTTTAGATGGCTTTGACAGCACATCTTCTTAATCTAAGCAATAGCTGTATTGTACTATTGTGGACTCAGTTGTCATCGAGAGGAAGCATTTAAAACCAGGACACACTGGCAGAAATTATAGAGAAGATTGAGAATGGTATCATTTTCCAAAATTATTTAATTCTTCATCTTTTTTCTAAAAAATAGTTTATTTCAGTTGCAGTGGTTGTTTCTTTGCTAGATGGAATGCAGGTATGTCACAAGACTAAATAGAAAGCGATAGATTGGAAAGGGAGAAAATAAAACCAGTGACTAATTGGGGAGGGGGAATCAGGTGCACACCCAAAGGTCCTCATAGAGTGTAGAAACAATGCAAGTTGTTGCATACAACTGGAAAACGAGGTATATCATCATGTGTAGGAGAAAATAACAAAACCTAAGATTAATTCATGCCAAGTCATCAGTTTTTGCCAACAGAATAACATATCTTTATTAGTGTCCCTTTTTGACATTTTCTCCTGGATTTTCTCTCTTTATATATTCAAATATATACTGATTATGCGTGGTGTACCCCATAAATTGAATTTTTAAAGTTTTTCATATGCAAATATAAATACGTTTTACATGTCTATGTACAGTACTATTCTAAAATAAATTACATATTAATGCTTCTAGACGTTTATAACCAACTATGTATGTACAGTCATAAAAATGTATTTTTAAGTTGATAAAATACATCAAAGTCAATTCCTACAAGTATAGCCATATGTTGTGACTTATTTTCACAACTAATCCTAAATGAGAAAATGAGGCACTAAGTTTAGCTCAGACCCTTTGCTTACAAATATTCTTCATGTCAGAAAACCATGAAACTAAAAGAAAAAATAAGTATAAGATGGAAAGTCTTTTAATTCCATTTGGTTCAGCAAGTCAAGTAGAAGATTGGAACCAGGAGGCAATAAATAGAGGCCCCTAGTACAATGAAATCAGTCTGCTATAAAAGGCGACACATGCCAGTTTTTTCTCCCCGATGGCAGATGCCACACCCTGAAGCAGACAGAAGGCACTGCTGCCTGTGAGAGAAGCACAACACAAAGCCAGCAGGACTTGGTTTTGTCTTTTAAACCACTGGGAATGCTAAGATACTTTTTAAAAGTATCTTTGCTAAAGATAAAATAGTGAACTCATATTGAACTTTTCAAACACACTTTCTCAGAAAAGAGAAAAAGCTTCAGTGTCATTTAAAAATCCAGGGCTCAAACAAAATGGCAATTGTCAGGGATCTGCTCCAAAGTGACAAAATAAGCTCACATTTCACAAAAACAATTTCAACTATCTGTTAAATTTTTTATTGGGTCTCTTGCTTCAATTATCCTGTATGACTGTTCATCTTACTGTTTTGTTTTGATAAAATAAGGTAATAGAAATCATTGTTCTAATCAGTTCCTTACTTTTACACCTCTTGCCTAAATTTTAAACCGCAATGACAACTTTAATAAGTTGTTCTAACCACAAGGAAGACGTGGAGATACAGGCCTAAGGGACAGCCTTGGCCACTCAGCATCAGAAGCAAACCTCCCACCCACAGGGTACTCCCCATGCCTTCTTGTATAGCCAGAGGATTACGCAGTATTTTGTTAAACATTCCCTTTTGGTTACAAAAGGTTTTCTTTCTTTTTTCCCTACTATATGGAAATATTAATATTCAAATACTGCTCCTTTTGAGTGAGTTTTAGGGCACTGAATAAAAGACTCTTCAACTTGCCCATTGAAAGAGAATTGAGCCAGATGGCAGTTTAAGAATTCCACAGTTCTGTTCTTTTTGCCTCTTCGTGGCCCATCATACTGTTTGCTTTCAGATTAGCCTCTTTTACTATTCTACTTATTTACTCGATGACTGAAGCTATCACGATTCACTGCCCATCATATTTCTCAGTATTCTTTATGTAATTTGGAAGCAATTTAGAATAAAGCCTTGTCAAGGTTTTACAAATAAGAACTATTAAAGAATAAGGCTTTGAATACTTGCTTTCCTTTTAGATTTATGAGAAATGCGATGAATGGAGCTAATGGGATTTCCCTACTGATCTTGGTCAGGGACTTAAAAAAGCACTAAACAATTGTCCTTTTCACTTCTCTGATTTAGATGTTAGCAGTGAATAACTCTGAGTCAGTGCAAGATATGGGATACAGCATTTAATTTGAAGCAACTATGTAAATTATTCACTGACCCTTAAATTCAGAATGCAAACCAATTAGGATCTGGAAAAGGAAAAGTAGGTAAGAATAAGTTAAGTAAATGTGGAACCATGTGAAATTATATTCTACTTTACTAAGAGAATGTATAATGAAGATAAAACTGTATAGGGGTAAACTACCATTCAACATATTTACCTAGGATCTGTACTTTGTGCTATGTCCTGAAAAAAATGCTGTTTAGTCTTGTCCTTAATAAAGGACATAAACCATGAACAATTTCACTAAAACACACCAAAGTCTGTCCTTTGATGTCATGGAGGATTTGGCCAGTAATGAAGAGAGCTCTGCTTTCCTTCCCAACAGCACTTACCACAACTGTGCCTTATTTGTTGCCATCAGTGGTCACGTGACCATAACGTTTCAGTCTACCTGTCTGTGACTTGACACCATGGACCTGTCTCTGTGGAAGCTGGACTTCCACAAACTTTAACTTATCAGGCCACTACACTTTATCTCCAGTGCCCCTAGAAACAGTAACAGCTGTGAAATAAATGAAGAAAACACTTTTTACATTTCAAAGCATTGTACTTTTATGGTCTGTTCATGTTTTGAAATATAATAAATATTACACTGCAGTTTATAACTTTCAGATGTGTGTTCAGTGGCATTTTTTTCATTTCCATTGTCATTCATTTTGTCATAGCAAATCACTAGTAGGTGCTTTTCAGTATTTGCTCCTGCAATATGTAACGTCCTATCATTGATAACCCGCTACTTGGGTAAAAGTACTTTATAGATAACTACATTTTAGTCCCTCAAAAATGAACTTGGCTAGTAAACATTCAAGATAATTGATAATAATCATACATGTAATTTGGAAGTCTGATCACCTCAAATTTTTTAAGAAAATTTTGATGACTTATAAAGACCTCTTACAGACCTAATTGCTCCCTAGTGCATATACACTTTAAAAATAAAGCTACATTTCATCTGTAATCCCAGTACTCAAGAGGTGGAGACAGGAATATTGCTGCAAGCTCAAGGCTAAACTGGTCTACACAGTAAGTTCAAGAACAGCCTGAACTGCCTGTCTCAACAACAAAAAGTGTATTTAAAGTACAATAAATTCTAAACAGCAACTCGTGCATTAATGGATATATTCCTGATTTTTATTCTATTCTCATATTCAATTGCTTTGTCCATAATTCCTCATGAGTCAATGAGCACCTTTAAGGGGAAATTACTAAGTTATCCAATTGTTATGGTAAGAGTCAAAGGAGTTGATTATATGCTTTTCTTATAGAAAATGACAATTTCATTGGACAATTTGCTTATTAACACATTCCCCTAGAAATACTTATTATTAAATGTAGTGGGTTTCTTTTCCTGTGCCTAGTATAATGAAATGTCTTGGCTTTTAATGTGTTACCATAAGACAAATTCAAGGACCTTTCCCCAGCATCTCTTACCCTCTGACGATTCCTCTTAAGCTGTGCTTCTCTATGGTATGCAGGTGACCCTTTTGTGAGGCCCATGAATGGTTCAGCTCCCTTCATTCAGAAAATGATTGCCAAGTATCTACTTACACTGGCCCTGTGCTAGGTCCTGCAGCTACCACAATGGATGATTAAAGAAAAATTTTTTAAATAAGAATTTACTGAATTGAATACCTGCTAAACATTAATCAAATGACTTCAATTAATGCATAACTGCTAAGTATAATAAGTATTGAAGGAAAGCTATTGGGCTCTAGGAAGGAAATACAGAGCCTGAACAAGTCTGAGTGCCAAGGGAAGGATTTCTCCACCACCCCCAAAGTTGTGGTTTGGGTTGAACACCAAAAAACAAGGACAAATTGGGCATGGTGGAACATGCCTATAATCCTAGCACTTGGGAGGCTGAGGCATAAGGATCCCTGTGAGTTCAAGGTTGACTCAGCTACATAGTTTAAGGCTAGCCTGAACTA